CCCCCGGCTCCCTTTTCCCCACCGAGACGGAGCCCCCCATCGGCTACGGCCACCGCGTCATCACCGACAAGTGTCCCGAGGGCATCGTGCTGCTGCTGCTCCAGGCCATCCTGGGCTCCATGGTCAACGCCTTCATGGTGGGCTGCATGTTCGTCAAGATCTCCCAGCCCAACAAACGAGCTGAGACCTTGGTCTTCTCCTCCCACGCCGTGGTCTCCCTGCGGGACGACCGCCTCTGCCTGATGTTTCGCGTGGGCGACCTGCGGGACTCGCACATCGTGGAGGCCTCCATCCGCGCCAAGCTCATCAAGTCCAAGCAGACGCAGGAGGGCGAGTTCATCCCCCTGGACCAGACCGACCTGAGCGTGGGCTTCGAGACGGGCGACGACCGCCTCTTCCTCGTCTCGCCCCTCATCATCAGCCACGAGATCGACGAGCGCAGCCCCTTCTGGGACGTCTCGCGGCACCAGCTGGAGAAGGACGATTTTGAGATCGTTGTCATCCTCGAGGGAATGGTGGAGGCCACAGGTAACGGGGACGCCAGCGGCGGCTGGGGGGCGGGACACCGCATCTCCGTGGGAATACCGCCATGGGGACATTGGCTCACCTCCATGGGGACACCGCGGGGACACTTCACCTGCATGGGGACACCGTGGGGATGCCTCACCTGCATGGGGACATCTCAACTCCATGGGGACGCCTCACCTGCATGGGGACATCTCCACTCCGTGGGGACACCTCGCCTGCATGGGGATGCCTCACCTGCATGGGGACACCGCAGGGACGCCTCACCTGCATGGGGACATCTCAACTCTGTGGGGACGCCTCACCTCCATGGGGACACCGCGGGGACACCTCACCTGCATGGGGACACCTCACCCCCGGGGCCCACGTTGTGTTCCTGCCTGGTCCTGGCTGGGAGGTGACCCCAAATCCACCCTCACCCCCAGAATAACCCCATGGCAGGATGGGGGGGGGGCAGCCTTCCCCTGTCCCCCCTTGCCCCCCCCAGGAAGCCTTTGCCTGGCCTGGCCCCACCAGGAGCTTGGGGCGGGGACCCCGATGACAGTGACAGCCCCTGATGTCCCCTTGTTCCCTGGGGTGTCCCATGCACAGACCCCCCCCCAGCCAGGATTGGGATGCCCCCCCCC